TTGGACACGTCCAGAGGAGGGACAGTGGTTTGGACACGTCCAGAGGAGGGACAGTGGGTATATTGGTTGAAGGATGTTAGAAATGCAGATGCCAGTCCTCGAGGCTCAATGAGATTTACCTGTAGAAATAAAGGTTGAATGGTTGAAAGGTTGAAAAAGAGTGAGATGGAGGAGGATGACTCGCTGTGGGGACCCCTGAAGAGGGAGAAGCTGAAAGAAGAAGAAGAATAAAAGTTCAGTTATTTGGAATGACCATGTCCTCGTGTTCTTCAGTGCAGCTTGATGGATTATTGAACTGAATGTTTTCATGAGGTTGTCCAGGTTCACGTTTGCACTAAACCCAAAGAACTGGCCTTGGTGTCGGAGGAGTTCCCTGCAGAACTCTAATAGAATGAAGAAAGCGTATGAAGAGGTCGAGTTGTTTCATTTATTTATTGAACACTGTGTTTGTATGTTTTAAACGTCTGTAAAATGTACTGTTTTTTATTTTACCAGGTACTTGTCAGCAAGAAGCAGAGAACTTTCTTTTGTTCTGAGAGTATTAGAAGTGATGCAGCAGGAACTTTTGTACCGCTGCTGTTAAACATGCAGAGAACTGACCTCAGATCAGTTATTTTTAAACCAAACTCTGATCAAATCTCCATCACTGTGACTGAATTTAGTTTCTGCTCCAACTCAAAACATCAGCAGACTTTGGGCTGGAGTAATGGTTTGGTTCTGACTGGGATCACTCTGTGGGAACATTAGATGTTATGCAGCGAGCAGACGGTTGGAAAAAGCAGCCAAAATGTTTTTTATTTTAAAAAGCTGCTTTTGAGACCATTTAAAATATTTGTCTTAAAATAAATGCTTTCTGTACACCTGAAATATTTGAGTTTTGTCCTTTATGTAAAAAATAAAATAAAGTTTAATTTGGTTATTCTGTTGATTATTTTTACCAACTGGACAGACGGCACTCTTTTTAATGTGTCCTAACGTTGGACTCATTGAATACACCAGTATTGTGTAATGCTTCATTCTGTAAACTATTTAGACTTCTAATGCTAGTTAAAAGATACTCGAGTGTGATCCTGTGATCAGTTTTTTCAGTTTAACTGTGAAACGACTCCAACATTTCCGACATGTTGCTGTTCTTACTTCTTGTCACTAGATGGCAGTGCTGTGTCAGCATGTGGCAGATGAGACTGTTGGAGAAATGAGGAAGAATGAAGCTGAACAGGAAATAAAGTGATGTCTCTACAGTTGGTAATAAATCACTTGTGCGTTTGAGTGTCGTCTCCTTCATCGTTACAACTGCAACAGCTCTGACTTTACTCTGTAGCAAATATTCTGCAGTTTCTTTAAACTGGTTGACGAACAGAAAGCTCATCATGAATTAAAGGAGTTCTGTTCTGTATTATTAATAAATTATTAAACGAACTAAACGCATGACATATTACTATACGGCAGCACAGTGGCTCAGCTGGTAGAGCTGTTGCCTCTCAGCGAGAAGGTGGCTGGTTCAAATCCCAGCGCAGGACCCTTCTGGGTGGAATTTACATGTTCTCAGTGCTGTGTGGGTTTTCTCCAGTTTCCTCCCACAGACCAAAAACATGCATGTTAGTCTGATCGACTGGTAACACTAAATTGTCTCTAGGTGTGAGAGAGAGAGTGAATGGTTGTTTGTCTCTGTGTCCCTGGGATGGACTTGAGACCTGCCCAGGGTGTCCCCTGCCTCTCACACAGTGACTGCTGGATATGGGCACCAGTGACCCCCGTCCCGGGACCTGAATAGGAAGAAGCGATAAAGTTACTCTACACATTTTATTTTACATTTTTATCTTTATGTGTGATGGATAAATGTGATGACAGTTCTGCCAACAGTCAGTCTCTGCATTTAGGAGTTAACAGAATGCTGACACCTGAAATGTCAGATTTAAGCTCCAGTAAAGTTTCTGTTTGGGTCCTGGGACACCATGATGGTGTGCTGGTGTATGACGGTGCATATATGAACATTTTGGATTCATTGAAGGCAACAGAAAGAAATGACAGTCATCTTTATACACAGCTGAAGCCCATTAAACCATCCCTCGGTCTCAGCAGCTTGTTGTTGTTTCACAAAGCGCAGATTTAGAAATGTTGCTGATTTGATTAAAATTACTTGAAGTGTTGAGGTGCTTTAAAACAAACACGGTACGCCGGTGTCCCTCGTTGTTGAGGGATTTGATCAGTGAATGTTGGTAGTTCTTGAGAATTGAGTTTTTCTGAATTTTGATGTGGCAACCCAGTTTTCCTTCTTGCACCTAGATGTAGCCACACATAGTGGGCACCTTGATTATATTTCAAATTATACAACTCACAATGTTAACATATGAACATGGGGGAGGGAGGGGGGTTAAATAAAAACTTACTGGGTAAAAAAAAACAAGCTGGCACTGGCAGCCATATTGAATTTTGAGGTGGCAACCAGATTTTTGAAAAGGGAATTTCTTACACGTAGATGCAAAATGAAAGCTGGTACCTCATTAAATATTAAAGTCATCACAACGTGGACGGGAGGATGGAAGAGGAAGATTTCTAAATCCCCTCTCGCTTTGTGACAGAGAACAAACATGAACATCCAACAGGCTGGACAAAACCAGCTGTCATTACAAAGAGAATGTGTATAGTAGAGCGCTGTATGAATGTGCGTGTGTAGTAGAGCGCTGTATGAATGCGTGTCTGCATAGTAGAGCTCCATATGAATGCGTGTGCGTAGAAGGGCGCTGTAGGAATGCATGTGTGTAGTAGAGCGCCGTATGAATGCGTGTCTGCATAGTAGAGCTCCAAATGAATGCGTGTGCGTAGAAGGGCACTGTAGGAATGCATGTGTGTAGTAGAGCGCCGTATGAATGCGTGTGCATAGTAGAGTGCTGTATAAATGTGTAATGAAGCACCGTATGAATGCGTGCGTAGTAGAGCGCTGTATGAATGCGTGTGTGTAGTAGAGCGCCGTATAAATGCGTGTGCGTAGTAGAGCGCCGTATGAATGTGTGCATAGTAGAGCGCCGTATGAATGCGTGTGCGTAGTAGAGTGCTGTATGAATGTTTGTGCGTAGTAGAGCGCCGTATAAATGCGTGTGTGCATAGTAGAGCGTTGTATGAATGCGTGCGTAGTAGAACGCTGTATGAAGGCATGTGTGCATAGTAGAGCGCCGTATGAAGGTGTGTGTGCATAGTAGAGCGCCGTATGAATGTGTGCGTAGTAGAGTGCCGTATAAATGCATGTGTGTAGTAGAGCGCCATATGAATGCGTGTGTGCGTAGTAGAGCGGCATACGAATGTGAGTGCGTAGTAGAGCACCATATGAATGCATGTGCGTAGTAGAGTGCTGTATGAATGCGTGTGCGTAGTAGAGTGCTGTATGAATGC